TACCTATCTCTTTTCCCTTCCTCCATACTTCTTGATGTGAATTTTAACCTATAATCGGCAAACATCTTCACGTTACTTTAAGCTTTTTCCTTCATCCTTCGATATTGTGCCTAGGATAACTACACTAAATCGGTTTCACTTTCTGCCATACTCGATGAACTGTTCACATGATCGAACCCGATTTTATGGTAAAACGTTTATGATTTTTTGTCGAAGATACCATAATTTCAACTTTTTAATTCTTACCTTTTCCATTACATTCTCTGAGCTGCCTAAAATCGGATTGTCTGTTGTGTCTAAGTTAATCTGTCTTCTTCTTTGAAACCGCTTGTGCTGAATTCCATCTCTTTTGCGTCCATTTGTGGAAACTTTTTGCCTCAAAATTACCTGATTTCCGTATTTGAGTTAAAACTAGCTCCAAATGACAAAAGGAGGCTGAAGCCAAACTAAATGTTAGATAATCTTATTCTTCATATCTTCCATTAACTAAAATTCTTATTTATGATGCGATATTAAAATTGTCTCTACTTCTTAGTGGAATTATCTTATCGCATTTAAGTCTATTTTATTCAACGTTTGAAATCACATTCATGTATTCATTTTCTCAGTTTGGAAGGCTGTCTTTTGTAGCTGGAGTCAGATATTAAAGATGCTAACTATGATTTTACGGAATGGGGAGCCATTCCTTCGTTATTATCTTGCAATATATCTCGACAATATTTAGTATCGCATTTAATTTTAGCCAATATTCGATTTATTCTTTAAATTGTTATTTGCCTGAGGTCCTCAAACATTTTTCTTAAATTTATCTTTTATTATCTTAGTTGGAGCCTTGTTTATTGAGGACGATGCTTTAACTCATTTGACTTAAGCATAAGACACTTAGAATTTCATATAGTTGCTCCCTAGAAGTCCCTTATTTCAAGGCATAGTTTAACTGGTGTCTTAACCCCTATTTATATCTATTTTAGCGTGGGAGGATAGTTTTAACGAGCCCTCCAACGGTATCCAAGCTGGTTCTCTGCTTCATAACCACCACCAACGGAAGTCCAGTTCGAATGCATATAATAAGGCTGATTTGCAGGTCTGCGATTTGCCATCAAGTTCCAAACCTCAAAGTAAGGCTTTGGCTTTAACCGCCAGTATTAGTCGCCGGCCATCAACTTCAATCGCTTCCTTATCTCAAGTTGACATACTCATTAATGGAGATGATTCGACTGACTCGGATTTGGCTTTATCTTGTCGGTTGGCTTCATTTAAGGGGCCATCCAGATTTCATGACTCAGATCCAGGTTCATTGTCTATCGTACATTCGGATGATGAGCCACTGACACCGTTAAATGGGGATCCAGTTCAGTTCAAAACTCCTCTTCACAACACTTGTGAACTTGAAAAAGTGAGTTCAAGTCCAAAACTCAGTCTGAGGCAAGCTAGAGGCCAGCTTACCTGCAACGAAATTGGAAATTTAATCGTGCCTTACGTCAAACAAACCTTGAGCCTGAATGCAAATAACACTCAGAGGCCACTTCCAGAGCCCAGGTTGACTGTGAAGAAAGCAAATGGAGATCGTATTGATAGAATTGGGTCTAGAGTTGTTGCTAGCTCCACACTCGCTTCTATCCCTATGGCTCCAGGGGCTGCGCTTTCCACTACATCAAGCTGGCTCTTACGTCTTTTTGAGTCAACTCTCTTCAATATGGATCTTGCTCTGCAATATCTACACAAAACGCAGGAGCCTGGCGTATTGGCATATCTTAGTGAGTCTATTTTATCTGTTCTTTTTTTAATAAAAATAACTACATTTTAAAAGGCTCTACCTCCATATTTTTATGTTAGTCTTCGCTTTTTTCTTACTATGCTTATTACTAATTTCCTCTGAGTTTACTTGCTTACGAATATAAAAAAATGGTCGTAAGGACATAGGTGCTACGTATGCTGCTAAACACAAAATAAGTGAGGCTATTGAACTTAATATGGAATACGCTGAATCTAAGAAATAAGAGCAGGACGTTGAGTAAGAACTGTTTATTTTTGGTTTAGGGAGAGAGGGTGTTGAGCTAATACCAAAAAGCGGGCGACTCAATTAGCTAAGTAGTGTTTCTAACTACATCCATATTCACTTAACAGTTCTGTTATGCTAACCAACTCATTCAAACGTACGGGATTACGAACTCTGACATACTTTTTATTGGATTATTAAACCTTAATGACCCTTAACTCAATTTATGACTGGTGGTTTCATACGCTCAGTTACAATATAGTTACAGCTCATTACTTCCTACTTATGTTTTCAAAAACCATTCAATTGGAACCCTCTAAATGTCCCTGCCGTTTTTTATTTGCATACATTCACTGTAGATGTTCCCCGGTAGCCTCTTGCGATCTATTTTCCCTTTTTCTCAAATAGCTCTGATCCAGTCTTCGCTTTTTTCTTTCTATGCTTATTACTGGTTTCCTCTGAGTTGACTTGCTTGATAAGCAAAGTTTTTACTAATTCAACCACCCGTTAATTCGATTTCTTTCA